ATATATTTTAGCGCTGCACCTTTTTATTGGATTGTATGTTATGAGGTTTTTTGGTTGCCTTTGGTGTATCAGCTGCTAGTTAGTATTGGTGCTCGCTCTCTTCCTATTTTTGGATACATCATCAGGTAGGCAGAGCGAGGGTGGTAGGAATTTAAAACTATTGAAGAGGATATTATATCAATGTCAATTGACCGATACTTGGAGAGTGAAACATCCAAGAGGAAGAGACTACACCTTCTTCTCTCCAGTACATGGATGGTATTCAAGGCTGGATTATATAATGATTGAGCATAGACAACTGGAGTCGTTGGTTAGCTCCAACATAGAGGTTACATCCATCTCTGATCATGCTCCTGTCATAATGATGCAACAGGAAGAAGGGTCAGCTGCACACTGGAGGATTGGTGAATATAGTGTATATTTATTGATCCATAGGACACACAAAACACCATGACATGAATACAGGACCTGTTTTTATATCTCCTTTGGTTTGTGTTTATTTTATAACTTCGAGCCTTCAGTGAAATGGCATAAAACCAGGGTATTATATCATTTAGCCAGTACGGCTAAGGGCTTGATTCCCAAGTTCTGGCAAGCTCCAGAGCCACCAAGAATAAATGATTGAATAAACAGAGTTAAAAATATCTATGGGATGGAAGAGTTGTATTATATAGAGGAGGATAAAGTAGAAAAGTTAAGGAAAACCTAGAGTAGTTAGTTAGACTTTAAAACATCTAAAAGATATCCAGAACTGGTATGGAGTTTAGGGGGAAAAGTCTAGAGCAGGCATGTCCAAAGTCCGGCCCGTGGGCCAATTGCAGCCCGTGTTCCGGTTTAATACTCTGTGTGAGCGTGTTTGATGCTGGAGTGTGAAGCCACAGTTGAACACAGCCACCCTAATCATGTCCCCTCCCTCTTAGATTGTAAGCTCCCAGGATCAGGGCCCTCCTAACCCTCTTGTATTGAACTGTATTGTTGCTGTAATGTCTCCAGTTATATTGTAAAGAACTGAAAGAACTGAGCAAAATGTTGGCGCTATATAAATCTTGTATAATAATACGGCCCAGGGGCGGACTGACCATTTGGAAACTCAGGCACTGCCCGAGGGCCCGGGGTCAGTAGGGGGCCCCATGAGATGCCCCTGGTACCTTTTTCATAGGCTTTTTTGAGTTTGGGCAAAGACACAGGGCCCCATGATCCCCTATTGCCCGGGGGCCCCATGAGTTGTCAGTCCGCCCCTGATACGGCCCACAGGTAATTTGGTAATATCTAAAAAGGAGAAAAGCGCCTCTAATTGCAATATGTGGTACATATATTGAGGAACATAATGAAAAAACATAATGAAAGAAAACGAAAGGCTTAGGCATATTTGGTGAAAATGAAGGACATGGCGGCGTCCTCGATGTATACGGCATAGTAAGCATTGGATTGGATGAGACTTGGGATGTTCACAGGGAACCGGCCGGAATGTGTGAGATCCAGGGGTGGACTGACCATTTTGAAACTCGGGCACTGGCCAAGGGCCTGGGGTCAGTAGGGGGCCCCATGAGATGCCCCTGGTACCTTTTTCATAGGCTTTTTTGAGTTTGGGCAAGGACACAGGGGCCCCATGATCCCCTATTGCCCGGGGGCTCCATGAGTTGTCAGTCCGCCCCTGGTGAGATCCAAAGATGGCGTCCAGATTCCATCCTGGAGCGCAACGTCGACGTCAGCACGATGACGTAGGGATGTCCAGCATGCAATGCGCCACGTTTCCGAACATGCGTGAGGCCGATGAAAGGCAAAGGTGCTCTCCCTTCTCTTCAGTGAGAGTAATTTTGCTTTTTCTTTTAGGGGGAGATACAAGTACAGATTTCAAATATGTCATGAATAGTATCAGTCGCTCCTGTATCCATTCATTTGTTTTGCCGCAAAATGGTCGGCCCTCACGCATGTTCACTTCATCAAATCTGGCCCTCTTTCACAATAGGACACCCCTGGTCTAGAGAGAGTTCGATGGAGTATCTGAAAGGGAGGGTGGAGGTGGGAGGGAAGGGATATAGATATGGAGAAAGGAGCATGAGAGGCGATAGATACTAGGCAAGGGGATGTGGACAGGGGCAACTGGAGGGGGTGGGGGAGGGGGTGGTGGCAGGAAGGGGGTGTGGAAGTGGGAGGGAAGGGACATAGATATGGATAGAGAAGCATGAGAGGAGATAGATACTAGGCAAGGTAATGTGGACAGGGGCAACTGGATGGGGGGTGGGGGGATGGTAGGAGGAAGGAAAGGGGGGAATGGTGGGATACTAGGCAAAGTGGAGGGTGGAGGGGGTGGGGGGTGGGAAGGGGGGGGGGAAAGGGACATAGATATTGATAGAGAAGCATGAGAGGAGATAGATACTAGGCAAGGGGATGTGGACAGGGGAAAATTGTAGGGGGATGGGTGGGAGAGGAAGGGGGGGGGGGATGGTGGGAGGAAGGGGAGGATGGTGGGAGGAAGGGGGGGTGGTGGGAGGGAAGGGACATAGATATTGATAGAGAAGCATGAGAGGAGATAGATACTAGGCAAGGGAATGTGGACAGGGGCAACTGGAGGGGGTGGGGGGATGGTGGGAGCAAGGGGGGGGGGAATGGTGGGAGGAAGGGAGGGTGGAGGTGGGAGGAAAGGGACATAGATATTGATAGAGAAGCATGAGAGGAGATAGATACTAGGCAAGGGGATGTGGACAGGGGCAATTGTAGGGGGGTGAGGGATGGTGGGAGGAAGGGGGGGGGGAATGGTGGGAGAAAGGGGGGGATGGTGGGAGGAGGGGGGGGGGGGGTGGAAGGAAGGGGAGGATGGTGGAAGGGGGGGAAGGGGGGATGGTGGGAGGAAGGGGGGGAATGGGGGGGGGAGGAAGGTGGGGAATTGGTGGGAGGAAGGGAGGGTGGAGGTGGGAGGGAAGGGACATAAATATTTATAGAGAAGCATGAGAGAAGATAGATACTAGGCAAGGGGATGCGGACAGGGGCAATTGTAGGGGGGTGGGGGAATGGTGGGAGGAAGGGGGGCCGGGAATGGTGGAAGGGGGGGCGGGAATAGTGGGAGGAAGGGGGGCAGGAATGGTGGAAGGGGGGCGGGAATGGTGGGCGGAAGGGGGGTGGGAATAAGGGGGGAAGGGGGGGAATAGCGGGAGGAAGGGGGGGGGGCGGGAATGGTGGAAGGGGGGCGGGAATGGTGGGATGGTGGAAAGGGGGGGCGGGAATAGGGAGGAAGGGGGCGGGAATAGCGGGAGGAAGGGGGGCAGGAATAGCGGGAGGAAGGGGGGCGGGAATAGTGGGAGGAAGGGGGGCGGGAATGGTGGAAGGGGGGCGGGAATAGTGGGAGGAAGGGGGGCGGGAATAGCGGGAGGAAGGGGGCAGGAATGGTGGGAGGAAGGGGGGCGGGAATGGTGGAAGGGGGGTGGGAATGGTGGGAGGAAGGGGGTGGGAATAGCGGGAGGAAGGAGGCAGGAATGGTGGGAGGAAGGGGGGCGGGAAATGGTGGGAGGAAGGGGGGTTGGGGATAAGGTGATGTAAAATGGAATTTATGTAAATGTAAAGTTTTTGTATATAAGGTTTTTCTTTTTTTTGTACTGAAAATCTTTAATAAAAGATATAAAAAAAGGGTTCCTTTCATTATTTTGAGCAGAGCAGCTTGTGTTTGTGTGCCCTGTAATGAACTTTTGTGTATTTTTGTACTGAAATGTTGTGTTTTGTAATTCCTGTGACATAACAATGTGGAACTCCCGCTCTTTCATTCTCCGGGGTCTCTGCTGTCAGAACAGTGCTCCTATTTGGGGAGGTTTGATGGAATTTTCAGGCCTAAAATGATTGGATTCAATAAACTTGTGTGCAAAATAACACAAAGGCATCTGTTGAGCAGCCAATGGGTGACATGGACGGTTCTGCTTCCCGCCTGTTTTCGTTCATTCGCTTCAGAAAAGTAAATGGGCCCTCAGGGGTGGGACTAGGCCAGGGGTAGGCAACCTGAGAGCTGCAGGACTACAAGTTCCATCATGCCTCTGCAAGTCATAGCTGTAACTGTTTTGTAATCTTTGCAATGCCTCATGGGAAATGTAGTTCCACAACAGCTAGCGAGCCACAGGTTGCCTACCCCTGGTCTAGGCCATTACCATGGACACAGACAGGAAGTCATGTGTGAGGCGGCCCATGGACAGATGAGAGCTCCTTCCACCCTCTGATTACACACACACCACATACACTGGGCCAGGGGGCTCTGGTAACATGACAACAGGATATTCTGTGTTCACATTGCTGTTTAAAGTTGAGTGTGGGGAAAAAAAATGATGGCGCTCAGACAGATGTTCCCGCCTCTCTCTTGTCAGACGGCGCTCATTAAAAGCTCGGCTCCGCCTCTCTTCCTTTGTCCTATAAGGCACAAGACTCCGCCCTCTCGCTTGTCTCTATTGGTGTCGCGGCTTCGTTTAAGCCGTCCGGCTCCGCCTATCTCTTTTTTTTTTTCCGGGATCCACCCTCTACGCTCGTCCTATAAGAAGTCCGGTTCCGACCCCCTACTTGCTTGTCTCTATTGGCGGTCCGGCTTCCTATCAGACGTCCGGCTCCTCCTATCTCTTTTCCTGGTCCCCCCTACGCTCGTCCTATAAGATGTTCTGCTCCGCCCCCTCGCTTGACTCTTGGCGATCCGGTTTTCCTCTCAGCCATTCGGCTCCGCCTTTCTCGATTGTCTCGGTTCCACCGTCCAATAAGATGTTCTGCTCCGCCCCCTCGCTTGTCTCTATTGGCGGTCCGGCTTCCTATAGGCCGTCCGGCTCCTCCTATCTCATTTGTCCCGGTCCCACCCCCTTCGCCCGTGCTATAAGAACTCCGGCTCCGCCCCCTTCTCCCTCTTTCACTGAGGTCCGGCGGCGGATTAAGGTGCTCGGTCCTTCCTGTGAAGCTAAGGCCTGGTCTCTATCCGGCGGCTAGCACCCCCACTCCTCTGTCATCCGCGACCCTACGAGCGCCCGTCACGCACAGCCATGGCCTCCGTCTCCGAGCTCGCCTGTATTTACTCGGCCCTCATCCTCTACGATGACGAGATCACCATCACGGTGAGTGAGGCCTAGTGGGGGGAGGGGCGAGTTGGCGCGCCTCGATGACGTCACTCCGGTGTGGAGATGTCAAGCACGTGTCGGCTTACTGGGACTTGTAGTTCTCCGGAGGAGGAGGGAGACTCCCGGGACTATTATTCGGCTCTCAGGATGCTGGGAGGTCACGGATCTACAGAGAGGGGCTGAAAGATGCTTGTTTGGCTCCCCTGACCCCCCCCCCCTGGGACATCTTCCGGGTTTTCTCTGGCTTAGTCACGGGATCAGCGGGACAGCCAGGTGCTTGGCATTTTCTCAGGAGTTCCCCGTGTTTGACGACATCAACCCTTTCCTCCCCTCTTCCTGACCAGGAAATCTTTTGCGATACGGCGTTGCGTTTAACAATTGCGCGGTCATGCAACGCTGCACCCAAATTAAAATTGTCTTTATTTTTCCCCCGCGAATTGAGCTTTCTTTCGGTGGTATTTGATTACCTGCGTTTTTACGCATTATTAAAAAACCTGACAATTTTGTGGGAAAAAAAACAATATTTTGGACTGTTTGATATTAAACGTCCAGTAAAAAAATTAGAAAATAAAATTTCATCAAATTTTGGCCAAAATGTATTCTGCTCCATGTCTTTGCTGGAAAAAAAAATCCCAATACGTGGAAATTAATTGGTTTATGTGAAAGTTAGTGGCTACAAATGGCGGTATAGATACTGGGTTTTTGTTATACCAGTAATGGCGGCGATCAGCGACTTATGGGGGGACTGTGGGGGGCATTCTGACACTGGGGAGGGCCAGATTTGCTGCCACTGACATCCTCAGTGACACCAGTACAGTGATCAGTGCTAATAAAAAGCACTGACTACTAATGGCACTGGGCAGGAAGGGGTTAACGTGGAGCGATCAAAGGGTTAACTGTGTGCTGGGAGTGTTTTTACTAGGGGGCGGGGTTTGTGCTTCACTAATCACACTGCTCTCGATGGCTGTGCTGTGCCTGAGCTGACAGGGAGGACTGTTAGTAAACAAAGCAGTCAGTAGTCCTCCCTGTCGGAAATCACTGGGGCACCAGTGACCAGGACCTAGTGATTGATGGCCTCGAACGGCTCATGTGCGCCCCCTACCTGGAAATGCAAAATCACGTCTGTATATATATATATAATATGATTTTGCACAGCCCTGTAGCAGTACTTCTACGATACCGCAGCAGGCAAGTGGTTAATGTCCTGTCCTGCTTTCATCCACTTCCTGGAGTATGGAGGGGCAGTGGTCATAGCTCCACCCTCAGATACACCCTGGGAAGGCTACATCACCTGCATCTTCCCGGCAGATCCTGTGATAGTGTGACACCCGGGTTGTATCCAGAGACACGTCTATCGTTGGTGGCGGTCACATCAGAACGCAATGCTGGAAACTCGCATTCTTCGCACCGCGTTCAAAACACACTGTACTCGTGAACTGCGGCAGGAGTCGGTGTTAAAGGATAAGTTCACCTTTTGACCAAAAATAAATGCACATTTTTATTTTGCAGGTAAAATGATGAGCGTTTATATTGGTTGCCGGGGCCTGGAAAGCATTGTAGCAGCAATCGGTAGATCACGGATGCCGTGCAGATCTGAGTACAGCTGCATCTCTATAAATTAGAATATCATCAAAAAGCTCATTTGTTTCAGTAAATGAAACTCTTCTATTCTATAGATTCATTACACAGATTGATACATTTCAACCATTTCCTTTTAACCACCTCCCGTTGTATATAAACGGCCGGACAGGAGCAGTGCAGGGTCAAGTAGCCGTTTATAAACGTCCTCCCTGCTTGTGCGAGCTCCCTGGGAGCACACAGCACCGCGATCCGGCGCCCGCTGTGCCCTCCAGACAGTGGAACACCGATCCTTGTATGGGACCTCTGTGTGAGGTCCCGATCATGTGATCCCTGATTGGCCAACCAGTGATCACATAAATAGTAGTAAGCAAGATGTCACTTCCTGACATTGCTTACTAGTGAAATCTGTGAATGATCAGAGGTCACATGGTACAAGGCTATTCACAACAGCCTTGTACCATGTGAAAAGCTGTGACCAATCACAGCTCACTCAGTACTTCTCAATGGCTGCAAGAATGCAGCCAGAGAGAAGAAACGATTGCTTTTACAGCCTTTATGGGTGTAATCTCCTAGATTGAAAAAGCAGGGCCCTCAAACCCCTCGTGTATTGTTTTGTTACTGTATTGTCTCATGTTCTGTCCCCCTTTGTAATGTACAGCGCTGAGAAAACGTTTTGGCGCTATATAAATACTGTATAATAATCGTGTTAAAAAAAAAAAAATCATCACCCCCCCACAAGTAGTACAGTGTCACCAAAAAAAATAACAAATATTGAGTTAAAAGTGTAAAAAATGTTTTTAAAAATTATAATTTTTGGTTATAAACTAATTTGGGTTGTTTTTTTTTTTTTTTACTAAAAAGTTGACTGAATACATTTTGGCCAAGATTTATGATAAAAGATGTTATAAGAAAAAGTTTTTTTTTTTTTTTTTTTTTTTTTTTTTTTAAATTTTTGGACTTTTTCATTTATATAGCAAAAAAATAACAATCCCAGCGGTGAATAAATACCACCAAAAATGAAGTTTTCTGTCTAAAAAAAAAATGCTAACAATATGTCCTATGGGTACAGTGTTGCATGACCGCACAATTGTCATTCAAAGTGTGAGAGCGCCTAAAGCTGGAAATTGGCCTGGACTGGAAGTGGTTAATTGTGATGATTATGGCTTACAGATGGTGAAAGCTCAAAATTCAGTATCTCAGAAAATTACAATATTACATAAGATCAATAATAAAGTATTGTAAATGGCTTACTGAAGCCTGTCCCGTGTCCAGTGTAGTACGCGCTCAGTACTTGGTGGGGGAAGCCTGTCCATGTCCAGTGTAGTACGCGCTCAGTACTTGGTGGGGGAAGCCTGTCCATGTCCAGTGTAGTACGCGCTCAGTACTTGGTGGGGGAAGCCTGTCCATGTCCAGTATAGTACGCGCTCAGTACTTGGTGGGGGAAGCCTGTCCATGTCCAGTATAGTACGCACTCAGTACTTGGTGGGGGAAGCCTGTCCATGTCCAGTATAGTACGCACTCAGTACTTGGTGGGGGAAGCCTGTCCATGTCCAGTATAGTACGCACTCAGTACTTGGTGGGGGAAGCCTGTCCGTGTCCAGTGTAGTACGCGCTCGGTACTTGGTGGGGGAAGCCTGTCCGTGTCCAGTGTAGTACGCGCTCAGTACTTGGTGGGGGAAGCCTGTCCGTGTCCAGTGTAGTACGCGCTCAGTACTTGGTGGGGGAAGCCTGTCCGTGTCCAGTGTAGTACGCGATCAGTACTTGGTGGGGGAAGCCTGTCCATGTCCAGTGTAGTACGCGCTCAGTACTTGGTGGGGGAAGCCTGTCCATGTCCAGTGTAGTACGCGCTCAGTACTTGGTGGGGGAAGCCTGTCCATGTCCAGTATAGTACGCACTCAGTACTTGGTGGGGGAAGCCTGTCCATGTCCAGTGTAGTACGCGCTCAGTACTTGGTGGGGGAAGCCTGTCCCGTGTCCAGTGTAGTACGCACTCGGTACTTGGTGGGGGAAGCCTGTCCATGTCCAGTGTAGTACGCACTCAGTACTTTGGTGGGGGAAGCCTGTCCGTGTCCAGTGTAGTACGCACTCGGTACTTGGTGGGGGGAAGCCTGTCCGTGTCCAGTGTAGTACGCACTCGGTACTTGGTGGGGGGAAGCCTGTCCGTGTCCAGTGTAGTACGCACTCAGTACTTGGTGGGGGAAGCCTGTCCGTGTCCAGTGTAGTACGCACTCAGTACTTGGTGGGGGGAGCCTGTCTGTCCAGTGTAGTACGCACTCGGTACTTGGTGGGGGAAGCCTGTCCGTGTCCAGTGTAGTACGCACTCAGTACTTGGTGGGGGAAGCCTGTCCATGTCCAGTGTAGTACGCACTCAGTACTTGGTGGGGGGTGTGTAGTACGCACTCAGTACTTGGTGGGGGAAGCCTGTCCATGTCCAGTGTAGTACGCGCTCAGTACTTGGTGGGGGAAGTCTGTCCATGTCCAGTGTAGTACGCACTCAGTACTTGGTGGGGGGAAGCCTGTCCATGTCCAGTATAGTATGCACTCAGTACTTGGTGGGGGAAGCCTGTCCATGTCCAGTGTAGTACGCACTCAGTACTTGGTGGGGGAAGCCTGTCCATGTCCAGTGTAGTACGCACTCAGTACTTGGTGGGGGGAAGCCTGTCCATGTCCAGTATAGTATGCACTCAATACTTGGTCGGGGCTCTTTTTACATGAATTACTGCATCAATGCGGAGTGGCATGGAGGCGATCACTCTGTGGCACTGCTGAGGTGTTATGGAAGCCCAGGTTGCTTTGATAGCGGCCTTCAGCTCTTCTGCATTGTTGGGTCTGGTGTCTCATCTTCCTCTTGACCATACCCCACAGATCCTCTGAGGTTTGTCAGGCGAGTTTTCTGGCCAATCAAGCACAGCGATCCCATGATCATTAACCAGGTATTGGTACTTTTGGCAGTGTTAGAGGTGCCAAGTCCTGCTGGAAAATGAAATCAGCATCTCCATAAAGCTGGTCAGCAGAGGGAAGCATGAAGTGCTCTAGAACTTCCTGGTAGAGGGCCACGCTGACTTGGGACTTGATAAAACACAGGGGACCAACGCCAGCAGATGACACGGCTCCCGAAATCATTGACTGAGGAAACTTCACAATGGACCTCATGGAACTTGGATTTCTGTGCCTCTCCTCTCTTCCTCCAGACTCTGGGACCTCGATTTCCACATGAAATGCAAAATTTACTTTCATTCAAAAATAGGACTTGAGACCACTGAGCAACAGTGCAGTCCTTTTTCTCCTCAGCCCAGGTAATTCGCTTGTGACCTTTTCTCTGGTTCAGGAGTGACTTGACACATGGATGCGACAGTTGTACAGTTGTGCCAAAATTATTCAACCCCCAATGCTGTAAAGGGGTTTAGGGACTATAGTGTACATTTGGAATTGTATTCAGAATCAAATCCTACAAGGACGTTTGTAACTACCCAAATGCAACTAAAATGACATCAATTGTTTATGTAATACAGTAGTAAATGGTTCTTATGTGGTTTCTTCATTGCCACAATTATTCAACCCCTTAAAGACTACCACTCTGAAGAACAGAGGTTCATACAGGTGCTTTCCATCAGGTATTGAAAACACCTGTGGATGTCACCGAGCAGCAATCAAGCATAATAAGCACCAATTAGGCAGCTTTAAAATGACTGTGATACTCAGCTCCTTCTAGACATTTACTGGTGTGGTTACAAACATGGTGAAGGCAAGAGAATGGTCCAGGAAGACAAGAGAAGAGGTGATTTCTCTTCACAGGAAGGGCAATGGCTATAAGAAGATTGCAAAGATGTTAAACATACCAAGAGACACCTTAGGAAGCATCATTCGCAAATTCAAGGCAAAGGGCACTGTTGAAACGCTACCTGGTCGTGGCAGAAAGAAGATGCTGACTTCGACTGCTGTGCGCTACCTGAAGCGTAGAGTGGAGAGAAGTCCCCGTGTGACTGCTGAGGAACTGAGAAAAGATTTGTCAGATGTGGGTACAGAAGTTTCAGCCCAGACAATAAGACGCACACTGCGTAATGAAGGCCTCCGTGCCAGAACTCCCAGGCGTACCCCCTTGCTGTCTCCAAAGAATAAGAAGAGTCGACTGCAGTATGCCAAAAGCCATGTGGACAAAACCACAAAAGTTGTGGGATAGTGTTCTGTGGACTGATGAAACAAAATTAGAACTGTTTGGGCCCATGGATCAACGCTATGTTTGGAGGAGGAAGAACAAGGCCTATGATGAAAAGAAACACCTTGCCTACTGTGAAGCATGGTGGAGGGTCAATCATGCTTTGGGGCTGTTTTGCTTCTGCAGGTACAGGGAAGCTTCAGCGTGTGCAAGGTACCATGAATTCTCTTCAGTACCAGGAGATATTGGATGGAAACGTGATGCAGTCCGTCACACACCTGAGGCTTGGGAGACGTTGGACCTTTCAACAGGACAATGATCCCAAGCATACCTCCAAGTCCACTAGAGCATGGTTGCAGAGGAAAGGCTGGAACATTTTGGAGTGGCCATCGCAGTCACCAGACTTAAATCCGATTGAGAACCTCTGGTGGGACTTAAAGAAAGCAGTTGCAGTGCGCAGCCTAAGAATGTGACTGAACTGGAGGCCTTTGCCCATGAAGAATGGGCGAGAGATACCCGTAGATCGCTGCAAGACACTTGTGTCAAGCTATGCTTCACGTTTAAAAGCTGTTATAACTGTAAAAGGATGCTGTACTAAGTACTAAGATTGAATGTCACTTGGGGGTTGAATAAAACTGATAATGCTGTGAGCACAGAAAAGACATTTGTGGTTATTTCATTATAAACTGTTATGTTATATTTGTCTGACCTACAAGTGCCTCTTTAATGTAAAATGTAAGCAAGATGACTGAATGATCAAAAGCAATGTCAAACTGGCCAAAACACTCAATTTCAGTGGGGGTTGAAAATTTTGGCCACAACTGTAGCCCCTGTCCTAGATACGTGGTGTGATGGCTCTTGAAGCACTGGCACCTGCCGTAGTCCACTCCTTGTGATCTCCCCCAAATTCTGCTTCACAAATCCTCTCCAGGCTGGCGGGTCATCCCTGTTGCTTGTGCACCTTTTTCTAACCACACTTTTTCCTTCCACTCAACTTTTCACTAAGGGTCCTTTCACACGGGTGGTCCATTTTTTTTGTTCATCAGTTCGGTCACATTTTTTCCAAAAAAATGGATCAGTTCACATACATTTATGTTCTGTTTTTTACAGAAGAAAAGTTGGGTTTTCTTCTATTAAAAAAACGGATAACAAGTTACATTGGCTGAAAAAAAGACAAAAGTCCATCCAGTTCATAACGGTATGCAGATATTAACGAATGTAAACAAATGATCACCGTTTTACATCCTCCTAGTCCATAGAATTACACGGTTGTCTGTTTTTTCATTCGTAAACGGGGACAGACGAAAAAACGGACATATGGAATCCCTGTGTGAGAGGGACCTAAAATGCTTTGTGATACAGCGCTCTGTGAACAGCCAGCTTCTTTAGCAAAGACCTTTGTCTTGCCCTCCTTGTGGAGGGTGTCAATGACGGTCTTCTGCACAACTGTCATGTCTGCAGTCTTCCCCATGATTGTGGAACCTGCTGAACCAGACTGAGAGACCATTTAAAGCAGTGGTTCTCAACCTTCCTAATGCAGCGGACCCTTTAATACAGTTCCTCATGTTGTGGTGACCCCCCAACCATAAAATTATTTATCCAGTAATTATAATTCATGAGTGTCGTTTTACCCCCAATACTGCTGCTTTCCACACAGTAGCTGCTTTCCACACAGTAGCTGCTTTCACACAGTAGCTGCTTTCCACCACAGTAGCTGCTTTCCACACATCGAAAATGTGTTTTCCGATGGTCTTAGGTGACCCCTGTTAAAAGGTCGCTCGACCCCCAAAGGGGTCACGACGCACAGGTTGAGAACCACTGATTTAAAAGGCTCAGGAAACTTCTACAGGTGTTCGAGTTAACCTCTTCACGCCGGCCGAATGCAAATGTGCAGCCTCCTGGCGCCGAGCGGCTGCAACATTTGCGTTCTAATAAAAGAGAACATATGTGCCGAGAGCGCGCGCCCTGCACGCTCCCAGCACACATGTTCGGTACTCACGGAAAGGTCCCGATCTCCTCTTTCGATCGGGACCTTTCCAGATCATGTGACAGATTGTAAGCTCGAACGAGCAGGGCCCTCGATCCCCTCATGTTTTGCATTGTATTGTTGTTCTGTCACATGTTCTGTCCCCCTTTGTAATGTACAGCGCTGAGCGAACTATCGGCACTTTATAAATACTGTATAATAATAATAATGACCCTAAACCCCGCCCCACCTCCCGGCTTCTGAACCTCTTAAAGGGCGGGAGGCGCCGGCCCTTTAGGGGTTAATTATCTGAAGGGGAAGGGGTTATCTGAAGGGGTTAATTATCTGTTTAGAGTGACATCACGAGTCTACGATATTGAACTTTTTCACAAGATTGTAATTTTCTGAGATACTGAATTTTGGGTTTTCACCGGCTGTAAGCCATAATCATCAAAATGAAGAGAAATGCTTGAAATATATCCCTTCATGTGTAATGAATCTGAGTTTCACATTTTGATATTCCAATGTATTGAGATGCTTCTGTATACCGGCTTGCCCTCATGGGACAGACGAGCATGCAAGATATACTGACAGGAAGAATTGGTGAACTACCATGGGGCTCCACAGGGGTGGGGTAGTTCATTGAGAACTAGAAGCAGCCACTAGGCATCAGGACTTGTAGTTTATTCATTCACAGAACTCTGTGAATGAATGTGATCGTGTGCGCTGAGACCTGCACAGCCAAACTGTTTTTTTAAAGTGACAGCTAGTACAGGGAATCTCTCCCTGTACTGCTATCACAAGGGGGGGGAATCAGGTGGCATTGGGAACATGTTACACCCTAACAGAACATGTAACACATTCCCAAAGCTGAACGTATCCTTTACAGTAGAACTAATGTTTTTCATTTTGGATAGTATAAGGGAGGGTTGTAACCCCTGTAAGTTTTTTTTTTTTTTTTTTTTTTTTTTTTTTTTTTTTTTTGCCATCTGTGTCCTATTGGGGAGATTTCCTTTCACTTCCTGTCCCATAGCTAAACAGGAAGTGAGAGGAAATCCCTCCAAATTAAGGGAATTCCTTGAGAATCCCCAGGTCACCAGAACTAGTGTCCTGACTGGAGGATTTCCCTTCTATTACTTTTCGGGGACAACCATTGGCTGCTGGGGATGTCAATCACCAGGTCCCCGTCGGCACTCTGTGATCGTCGGCAGGGCTGAAAGGGGGAGAAATCTGTAAACATAGGTCTGTCGCCTGTCAGCTTGGATGCACTGCTTTGTGTATCTGCATAGCATGTCTTCCTAGTGAAACAGAGCACAGTTAACCCTTTGATTGCCTCAGATGTTAACCCCTTCCTGCCCGGTGCCATTAGTACAGTGTCAGTGCTTTTTATTAGTACTGATCACTGTATTGGTGTTACTTGGGGGTGGCAGTGCGGCAGTTCCCCCCCAGTGTCAGAATGATCACCGCAGCCAGCTATAAGTCGCTGATCACATCCATTACTAGTATAAAAAAAAATAAAATTGGATGGTGCTTCCTGACTTTCTACACTGGGATCACACAAGAGCGGTGGGGGAAACTGAGTGTGGTTTGGACCGGAAACCACAACACGTTCCTGTTCAAATGGCCTGCGATTCTTTGTAGTGCGACTTGTGCCCATTCATTTTGTATGGGCTGAAATCACACTGCGAAGGTATTGGGAGCATTAGCACAAGTGTTTGGTAATGACACGGATTCCAGTATTGGTGCATCCCGGCTCCTATGCAGGATTGTGGTGCTGGGTCATGTCACCTGTATGGTGCTCTGTATAACTAACCATGTTCTTTCATCTCTCCAGGAAGACAAGATCATCGCTCTGATCAAAGCTGCAGGAGTCAGTGTGGAGCCTTTCTGGCCCAGCCTGTTTGCCAAGGTACTTCTCGTTCTTGTACATAGTCTGAAAAAAGACAAAAATCCATCCAGTTCAACCATTAAAAAAAAAAAATATATAATCCTACACCCACAGTTGATCCAGAGAAAAGCAAAAAAAAACCCAGCAAAGCATGATCCAATTTGCTCCTGCAGGGAAAACAATTCCTTCCTGATCCCTGAGAGGCAATCGGATATTCCCTGGATCAACTTTACCTATAAATGTTATATCCAGTTATATTCTGTGTATCCAAGAAACAATCCAGGACTTTCCTACAGCAATCCACTGAGCTGGCCACAACCATGTTTAAAAATAAAAAAAAGTTACCTTTCTGAAAATACCAGTTTTCTGAACCGTAAGTCACTGAACCATTCATCAGATCAGATTTGCTCGTACTTCAATATTTTTGCAGTCTATGTACATAATAATCTGACAGTGGGGGGGGGGGGGGAGACGTGTGACTTGTGACTTTGCTGTCTGGGTCCCTGCTGGGGGGAGCCTTTTGTTTAGGCCATGTTGCTTACATGGGAATGTGTTGGCATCTAACAAAACCTTAGTACATTGAGAGGTCTGGATCCTCTGCTAGGATTTTTTTTCTCTGTAGCCATCCAGCCTTCGCTTTTTATTTTGGGCGCACTATAGGAAGTAAGGTGATCTCCCCAGAAAGGACACAACAATAACCCTGCACCCCAGAAAAGTCTTGGTTGGGTTTCATTTTGTTAGTGGCTCTGAAGTGTTAAATGGACTTTAAATCCCCTCCCATTGCTCAGTGCTAAAATATTCATGACCCAGCCCTGGATGATGCAGAAAAATATATACCGAGCAGAAAAGGCCAATTGTATAGTTTTGTACTGCTTATAACAGATAATGGGGAAAGTATAGTTGTACTGCTTATAACAGATAATGGGGAAGTATAGTTGTATTGCTTTATAATAGATAATGGGGAAGTATAGTTGTATTGCTTATAACAGATAATGGGAAGTATAGTTGTATTGCTTATAACAGATAATGGAAGTATAGTTGTATTGCTTATAACAGATAATGGGGAAGTATAGTTGTATTGCTTGTAACAGATAATGGGAAGTATAGTTGTATTGCTTATAACAGATAATGGGGAAGTATAGTTGTATTGCTTGTAACAGATAATGGGGAAGTATAGTTGTATTGCTTACAACAGATAATGGGGAAGTATAGTTGTATTGCTTACAACAGATAATGGGGAAGTATAGTTGTATTGCTTACAACAGATAATGGGGAAGTATAGTTGTATTGCTTACAACAGATAATGGGGAAGTATAGTTGTATTGCTTACAACAGATAATGGGGAAGTATAGTTGTATTGCTTACAACAGATAATGGGGAAGTATAGTTGTATTGCTTACAACAGATAATGGGGAAGTATAGTTGTATTGCTTACAACAGATAATGGGGAAGTATAGTTGTATTGCTTACAACAGATAATGGGGAAGTATAGTTGTATTGCTTACAACAGATAATGGGGAAGTATAGTTGTATTGCTTACAACAGATAATGGGGAAGTATAGTTGTATTGCTTACAACAGATAATGGGGAAGTATAGTTGTATTGCTTACAACAGATAATGGGGAAGTATAGTTGTATTGCTTACAACAGATAATGGGGAAGTATAGTTGTATTGCTTACAACAGATAATGGGGAAGTATAGTTGTATTGCTTACAACAGATAATGGGGAAGTATAGTTGTATTGCTTACAACAGATAATGGGGAAGTATAGTTGTATTGCTTACAACAGATAATGGGGAAGTATAGTTGTATTGCTTACAACAGATAATGGGGAAGTATAGTTGTATTGCTTACAACAGATAATGGGGAAGTATAGTTGTATTGCTTTACAACAGATAATGGGGAAGTATAGTTGTATTGCTTTACAACAGATAATGGGGAAGTATAGTTGTATTGCTTTTAACAGATAATGGGAAGTGATGCCGTATAAATGAATAGGCAGCTCACCGAATGTGAATCGCCATCTTTGATTTTTTTCTTATCCAGTGAGCTTTTTTGAAAGTAGTGCAAAATCACAAAGCCAGACAGGACATCGCTTTACATTGGTGCTGGGGAGGGTCTAGTAGTGAAGCAATGTTAGTTTTTACAGAACTTGCAATAAAGCTTGTTGTGCGTAAAGAAAAAAGTGCATCCTGTTGGCATCTGACTACTGCGGGAAGGAACAGATCCCAGGTGGAATGCAGCCAATGGATGATCTTGAAGTGGGACTTTGTATGCATTCTTTAACCTGATACTTGAAAAGTCGGTGCAACAGATGACACAGGCGGTACCGATCATATGCAGAATACAGTCCCAGTGCATGGTGGTACAGGACCTGAAGATGCAGACTGACCCCGGGGGAGGGATTGGCTGCAGTGTTCAGGGGACACAGACCCTGTTGGGTGAATGCTGTTGTTTGGCAGACTCTTTAGTTGTGTATTTCATTGACATTTTCTCTTCTCTCTGCAGGCTCTCTCCAATGTGAACATTGGCGGTCTGATCTGCAATGTGGGAGCCGGTGGTGGAGCCCCTGCTGCTGGTGCTGCCCCTGCCGCTCCTGCAGCTGGTGGTGGAGCTGCTCCAGGTAAGGGATTGCGGTGACTGGCAGTGTGGAATGGCGTCTGCTACCTAACTTCAGATCAAAACTCCAGCTTTGTTAAGCCCTTCACGCCGGCGCCTCCCTGCCCTTTAAGGGTTTCAGGAGACGGGGCAGGGCTGTGACATGCTGTCACATGATCGGGAAAGGTCCCGATTGAAAGAGGAGATGGGGACCTTTCCGTGAGTACCAGGCGTGTGTGCTGGGAGCGTGCAGGGCGCGCGGCCTTCGCACATGTTTTTTTTTTTTTTAATAGAACGCAAATGTGCGGCTGCTGCTCGGCGTCTAGGCCCAGAGGCTGGGAGGACACACATTTGCTTTCGGCTGGCGTGAAGAGATTACTCCCTGTCCAAGACTATAGCTGGCAAAATCTCTTCATACCCTAACCTGCTTCTGTCATCCAGATACAGAGAGCGGCCACTTCAGTGCATCTTTATGGTCTTTCTTAATCGTTTTAAAGGATGAGTTCACTTTCTGGGCAAAAATAATTAATTTTTTTTTTGCAGGTAAAAACAATGTGCAGTTACTTTGTCCAAAGGAGCCTGGAAAGCATTGCACCAACGATCAGCGGATCACGGGTGCCATGCAGGTCTCCTGCAGACCTGTCAGAATATCTGCTTGCCACATGGAATGTACAGTCATGCAGATCTTCTGAGAGGAAGCTTCAATGAACTACCACGGCGCTCCACAGCACTTTGGTAGTTCATTGAAAACTACAAACCCACAGCCGCTAAGGATGCTGGGACTTGCAGTTCATTTATTCACAGAAGTCTGCAAAAGAATGATGCGGCTGTGTGGGCGGAGCCCTGATCGGCCATGCTGTTTTCAAATTTGACAGATAGTACAGGGAGCCTTCTCATCTGTTTAGTGGGAGGGGGGGGGGGGAAACTTCTCCCAATATCTGTCAGAAGGAAGGGGGGCGGCAGGCTATGGGAACATGTTACATAAGTGCAGTGTTTCTCAACTCCAGTCCTCATGGACTCCCAACAGGTCATGTTTTCAGGATTTCCCTCAGATGAAACAGCTGTGGTAATTACTAAGGCAGTGAAACTGATCAAATCACCTGTGCAAAATAATGGAAATCCTGAAAACATGACCTGTTGGGGGTCCATGAGGACTGGAGTTAAGAAACACTGCATAAGTGGAACATGTTCTAAAGGTGAACTTGCCCTTTAACCTCTTGGCGCCGGCTGCACGCAGTGTGCGGCCTCCCGGCGTATGGGCCTTGACGACGAGCAGCCACACAATTGTGTGCAATTAAGAAAAACGTGTGCTGAGTGCGCTCCCAGCACTCATGGGAAGCGATCGGGACCTTTCCCGATCATGTGACCACAAATCATGCTGGTCACATGACCCTAAAGCCCCACCTCCAAAAACCCTTAAAGGGCAGGGAGGAGCGGCTCCAAGGGGTTAAACACTGAGGATCGAACCGTAATCACATCATCTGTCTATATAGAACACTGCCCAGCCACCCCCTCATGCCAAATATCTCATTACAAGAAGTGTGCTGCAAACCTGTGGAGACTCTCTGGTGTCTGATTTGGTTTCAGGCTCTGTGCAGATCGTTGAGAGCCGATTACAGAAACTAATGTGATTGCTGGTGTAAGGAGCAGACCTGTATTTTGGGCTGTTTACATGAAATCCTGGCTAAAGATGGCCACACACTTGTAGATTTTTGGATGAGAATATTCGTAAGAAAATTCTTTGAACATTCGCTGAATGGATGAATGTCGCTTGAAAATTGACTTTTGTTTTTAACATTAGAGTTTAAAATGAATGTAATTTCTGAACGATAACCACATACACCGGCCGAAAGTTTGTTTGATCGAGTTTTCCTTCCCACCCCTTCAAATTTTCCTGTCACTGTAGTCGAAAACAAACATCGATTTGACCCCCCCCCACTAATGATTAGAAAATCAAACGAATATTCCTGAAATTAACCTCTTCACGCCGGTTGAATGCAAATGTCCGGCCCATGGGCTTAGACGCTGAGCGGCCGCACATTTGCGTTCTATTAAGAAAAAAAACGTGCTGAGAGCGTGCGCCCTGCACTCTCCCAGCACACGTATCTGGTACTCACGGAAAGGTCCCGATCTCCTCTTTCGATCGGGACCTTTCCCGATTATGTGATGACGCGTCACGGCGGTCACATGATCCCTAAATCCCATCCCGACTTCTGAAACTCTTAAAGGGCCAGGAGGCGCCGACGTGAAGGGGTTAAAATCTATACTTGTATGGCCAGCCTTGCCCTTTGTGAATGTAAACAGCTGGGATAGGACCTTCTGGGTTTTGTTCAGATGTTTGCATTCAGTTGTATCTTTAGCTGGAAATGTAGAGTGCCGGGACCCCACTGATCTGCTTCTAAACTGCTGCCTCCCAGACTCCTGATTACAGAAATTGCATGAAGCTCCTCTATTTAGAGTGGGCTGGGTGGGTGACTTGCTGAGGTTAACTTTTTTTTTTTTTTTTTCTTTTCAGCTGAAGAGAAGAAAAAGGAGGAAGAGAAGAAGGAAGAGTCTGAGGAGTCTGATGACGACATGGGCTTCGGTCTCTTCGACTAAAACTTTTTCTATTTGTAATAAAGATAACTGGCTTCAGTCCAACCTGCTCAGCTTTACTTTTTATTGTACACGTCTTTTTAGATCCAGCTTTGGAACCTATACAACCTCCAAACCAATGGTAGAGGGCTCAGTTTAATGTAGAAGGGATTAACGTGTGTGTATGTATCCGTGCACCAAAAACATGACAATTGATGGGACATCAAACTACACGCCACTTAAGATGCTTTTAAAAATACACTGGTTAAAAAGTTCAATTTTTTTTTTATGAGCGGAGTCTAGTTTCAAGTTGGTGAAGCTCCTGGGATATCGATCTGGTCAGGTAGGTAGCAGAGGGGGTTGTTCATCAGTTTCAGCTGCTTTGGTTTTAATGAAATTGACAGGTGCACTAGATGGAGGGCAAGTGGTTATATTTTTTCCCCTGACATGTTATAACTTTCACTTGGTTATAGAAGTTGCACTTCTAAATACTGTACAGCAGGGAAAAACAAATGTCTTAATTTCAGGCTGCAAAGCAACAAAATGATTATTTTCAAAGGGGGGGGGGGGGGGGGGGGGGGGGGGGGGTGATTCTGTTCTATACCCACTAATTATATTGGTTCAAGCTGGACCAGTGTAGATGTGTAAAGTATCCTTGCCTGGAACTCATTAACTCCTTGATGCTGACGTAACACAAATATGCAGCCCATAGAACTGGGCTTTTTTCTGTGGGGCTGCATATTTGCGTACCTGTCTTTCTGGTGGGAGTGTGTCGCACAGCGCACTCCAAGCACAAAGACCACGGTGTCACAGAGCCAAGAGTCTTGCTCTGACGATTGGACCCAGGACTCCTGATTCCAGGTCACATGATCGCTGTGATGGCCTCTGATTGGCTATCGCAGTGATCTGTCACTGTACAGCCTGGCCCCCTTTGTTTTATTTTTTTTTCTTTCTCTATGGATGGAGGAGTGGTATACATTGTATCTCTAACTCCTGGCATAGAGGGGACAAAAAAAGATAAATAAAAAAAAAAAAAAAAAAATCCTAGACCAAGGTTTGATCTAGTTCAGTGCTGGGGTAAGTGTTTAGGTCAGGGTCAAAGGTCAGGATTTAAAAAAAATTGCTATTTATTTATTACAGGTACTTTAATAGCGCCATCATTTTACACAGCACTTTACATATATATTGTACATTCACATCAGTCCCTAACCCTCAAGGGGCGTACAATCTAAGGTCCCCAACTCACATTCATACATACACATACTAGGGACAATTTAGACAGGAGCCAAGTCATCTACCAGCATGTCTTTGGAGTGTGGGAGGAAACGGGGAGTACCTGGAGAAAATTCACGCAGGCACAAGGAGAACATGGAAACTCCAGGCAGGTGGTGCAGTGGTTGGGATTCAAACCAATGACCCCAGTAGTGCCAGGTGGAAGTGCTAACCATTTAGCCACTGTGTTGCCCAGTGTCCTTGTGTTTTAGGTTAAAAAAAAGAGCACACGATTGTTTCTGGGCTGTACTCGGGTATAAATAACACACATATGATATTGCGATCGTCAAGAGCTGTGACATTTATTTTTGCTCTTTTGGTGGTAGGTTATGGTAGTAACAAGAAACACAGCTAATTTAAAAAAAAAAAAAAAATTTTTTTATTCTTTTGGGCCAGTTTTTCTTTGATGATAAAAAAAAAAACTCAGGACCTATCCATTACCATTTACCAACAAATAAAAGCCCAATGTGTCCTGAAAAAAAAAGCAGTATACTCCACCCAGATGTAAAGCAGTTGTGATGATATGGATGAGGTAACTAACACATGTCAACGTTACAAAATTGTGCTTGGGCATTAGATTTGTTTTACTCTTAGGCATGAAGGGGTTAATATCCCATTTATTTCTTAACTGGAATACAGAGGGTCCTCTGACTGATCTAATGTGTACAACGATCATTCTTTGAGCTAATGTTGGGTGTTGTAGGAAAATGATTTGGTAATGTCATCTAACCTGCTTACAGACATGGGGTGAGTTTGGCCTAGCAGGGGTAGGCAACCTGAGAGCCGCAGGACTACAAGTTCCATCATGCCTCTGCAAGTCATAGTTGTAACTCAGTTTTGTAATCTTTGCAATGCCTCATGGGAAATGTAGTTCCACAACAGCTAGAGAGCCGCAGGTTGCCTACCCCTGGCCTAGTCTACAATAGAGCCATCAATCACACAGGAACTGTTATACATTCTTTGAATATTGTTAGTAAACATCTAGGCTGACAACATGAAGGAATAATGAGAAAAAAGTGAATTATGTGCCAAAATGTGTTCTATCGTGAAATGGCTTCAGCCCATGTGACCTAATACTTGTCCCAATATTTTGGCACATCAGTTCATCACTAAGATTGTTGTGTATCTGCACCGCAGCCGCTGTCCAAGCTCCATGGAATCCACTTTGAAGCACGCAGATAGGAGCCTCGCAGTATGCCTCTTCTGTTAGCAGCATTGTTTGAATATCCCAACCCCAGGCCATAGTCTGAGCTTGAAATCAGCTTGTTCTAAGAGTGACACCATGAATACCCTGAGGGCCCATTCACACTAGAAACTGCACATTTACTCTGCATTGATGCACATTTGACTTGTGGTTTTTTTTTTTGTATGTGCATTTGTATGAATTTGTCTTAAGCTTGCATTTCCTTTTGAGATTACTTTCTTTGGCTTTTTATGTGCAATGTGTTGCAGTACACTTGTGCCTTTGCCCATATTGCTGTGCAGAAAAATGCAGCTTGCTGTACTTACCCCTGCACTAGTGTGAACTATGCCCATAGGGTATCTTGGATTTTGGACTGTCTCTGCAGTTGGAGTGTAGGCAAAAATGCATCCCACTGATTCTGGTGTGAAGAGGCCCTGAAGCTCAACTGCTGCCAAATGGATTAATATACAGGCGTACCTCAGGTAACAATTTTTGGTCTATGAATGAAAATGGTTAGCACCTTTGTTGTTAACTTTTACCTACCTGTTTCCGCAAGTGATGTATAGACATTTGTACTGTGACCCTCATTATTATTATTATTATTATACAGTATTTATAAAGCGCCAATAGTTCGCTCAGCGCTGTACATTACAAAGGGGGACAGAACATGTGACAGAACAATACCAATACAATGCAAAACATGAGGGGATCGAGGGCCCTGCTCTTTCAAGCTTACAATCTCATTCATTTTTTTCTTTTTTATTTATTGCCACTTCAATGTTCAGCGTACATTAGCAATGTCTGTTTGTTCCATTCTGATTTGTTAAAATTGTTTGAACAAAAAATGGATAGCACCTCCGCCTGGCAGTACTAGGGATCGTTGGGTCAAATCCCCAGCTATGGCACCACCTGCCTGGAGTTTGCATGTTCTCCCTGTGCCTGCATGGGTTTCCTCTGGGTACTCCAGTTTCCTCCCACACTCCAAAGACATGCTGGTAGGTTAATTGGCTCCTGTCTACATTGTCCCTAGTATGTATGAATGTGAGTTAGGGACCTTAGATTGTACACCTCTTGAGGGTTAGGGACCGATGTGAATGTACAATAAAGTGCTGTGTAAATTGACAGCACTATCAAAGTACCTGAAATAAAATAAAGCCGTGGTTTACAAATTTGTTTTTGCAATACGAACAGATGAATTGGTTTTCAATGCATGTACAAATATTTTTTTTTTTTTATCATGTTCCTGTATAGTATTTATGCCTTTAAAGTGCACTTTATAGAGTTTTGATAAGTTGTTTTTTTTCACTTTTATCTGACCTCCAGCACAAATTAATTTTGTTTTCAGTGCATTCCTATGGGAAACCACATTTTAGTTTACAAATTTTTCACAATATGAAAAGTCCTGTAGCACGCATTAAATTCATAAACCAAGGTACAGATAATCTAAATATTGTTGATTTACCTTCCAAAATAATTTGCATTTCTGTCCATCTTTCCATAAGTTACACAGCTCCACCACATAGCATAGCCATTCCTGGCAATGAAAGGGGCCTGATCTATTCCTGATGCAGTTTCACTTGCACTTACAGCTCTCCTTCCCACAGCAACCCTATTGCCTGGAGAGTGACAGACAAGCTCATCAATGTGCTGCTGCTCTTTTCACTTAGTTTGTTCCTATCCGTGGGCTCTTTGCAGTGAAACACACCTGATTGACTACTTGTGTTGCTTCTCCCACTCTGAGCTTGGCTATTCAAGGACTTCAAGTCAGAGTCAAATTTGGGTATTTTACACAGTTTGTTAATAAATTCACTCATTAAATCCAGAGACCTGTAATATTTGTATCTTATACAGGCATACCTCGGTTTACGAATTTAATGCGTTCTGTGGGACTTTTCGTATTGAAAAAAATTCATAAACCAAAATGCAGTTTCCCTTAGGAATGCATTTAAAACCAATTAATCTGTTCTGGAGGTCAGAAAAAAGTAAAAAAAAAAAGTTATCTGTTCAAAACTTTATATAGTGCACTTTAAAAGGCATAAATACTGTACAGGGACATTATTGAAAAAAATCTGTAAATGCAATGAAAACCAATTAATTTGTTTCAGAAGTCAGAAAAAAGTCTTATCTGTTCAAAATTTTTTATATAATGCACTTTAAAGGCATAAATACTGTATAGGGACATGATAAAAAAAAAATTGTAAATACATTGAAAACCAATTAATCTGTACATATTGCGAAAAAAAGATTTGTAAACTGAGGCATTATTTTCAATGGATTTTCATTCGTAAACCAAAAATTGTGTCAACCGAGACACTCCTGGCAAATACAGGCGTACAGCTTTTTTTTTTTTTTTTTTAATCCCTGTAGATAAAGGACATAATGAAATTGAATACATTGGCAGGTAAAGTATAAACCCTAAATAAAGATGAGCTGCCAAAACTTATAAAAGTGATCCGGTAATGTATTAGAAAATAAAAAAATCTCTGCAAAAGAAAAACATGAATACTCAGTTTAAGAGTTGCGGCCTTCTGGAGGCTCTTCACATTTACCCCTTCCAGGGGCAGGATGC